ATTGCAAATATTGGAACGTCACACTTATTCAAATGCGAATACCTTTACGTACTTGCATCGGCATATCAAATACGAGAGAACAATCGAGTAATTACACCACGGGAAGGTCATTGAACCTCCAAATTCGAAAACCCACAATTATAAAATTTCTGTATTAATTAATGATGAGTTGCAATTTCCGAATAATATATAAATTTGGCGTCACACCAACCTACTCTTTCGTTGTATAACAACAAAAATAATTTTTCCACACTTTGATGTTTCCGTGCGTTCTCATTTCCCAAAGATTCATATTTTGATTAACGACTCCAGTTTTATACCGACTGACGAATGTTTAGGAAGAAAGCTTGATCCGGAATGGGCGGTACATGTAGACAGGGCGCAAGAATTTTTACAAGCCTTCCAATTAATTATTGTCTTGGTGTAGATTTCAGCTACATGCCTTTTGAAATGCGGAAATTTTAAGTAAGCTCGGTACTTGTCCTAGTTAAATATCTTAATTTAAACGGGCGAAGACAGTCGAAGAAAAAATGTGTGTGCAGAAATAAATTTAAAAGTATACAAACGAAGATTGACGCTGAAAAGTTCAGAAATGCGGAGTTACGGTTTTTTAAACTAACAGTCGAAAAGAAGAGCTCAACTGTTAGATTCAACCCAGTTGATATTTAAAAAATGTTTTAAATTCCCATTGACAAACATATGTGGAGCTAGAAATTGGAGACAAATTTATTGTAACTATACCGCGTGCACATCAGATTGGGGATTTTTGCAGTAGCATATCCTTGAGATTTCTGGCCTATGGATATTGAATAACAATCAAGATCTTGCAGTGTATAAATTTTCAGGCAAGAGTGTTATAGATCAATTGCAACCTTTCTTGCTTTTTCATTTTAATTAAACCGTAAAGCTGTAAAACTTAGGGGGCAGCACTTTCAGAACGTTTGGTCGCCGACTTTGAACTTTTTCGCTGAATACTCGTAACGCAAGATTGCTTATTCCCTACAAAATTTCCGAGATGATCACAGTAAAAAGCTAGGTAGTATCACCAGAAACAACAAACTTGTGAGGAACAATAGAGCTTTTGGATAGCTGCCTCACAAGGAATTAATTTTTTAAAAAATGCTGAGCCACTGGCTACCTCAAACAAGTAAAGATGATGCAATTGGTGCCGAAATACTCGAAGCTAAGGCAGAGGAAAATATGGTTAGCTAGCAAAACTGTCTAGTGAGGATACATTAAAGGGTTGTCTTGAATATCATGAACAAAAATACCATGCATCTTTCTACCTATGTGCCTTTATTAGAGGTAGAGAATTAAAATAAGTTAAAACTCAATTCGTCGCCGATCGTGTCTCATTGGGTTTGTTACACTTATTAGGCGAGGTAGTCTCGGTAGGTTCGGAAGAATTCTAAAAAACATTAGGTAAGGTTCGATTAGACTAGATGGATCTATTAGAGGTTCGCTTGAATTCCAAGAAAATGTATCTTGTTTCCATTAACCAAGATCTGTGGCTTCGAAATCTAAGTCGTTACACCCGAAAACGGCAGTTAGAACTACAAACAACTTTTCTTAGTTCTATTTTTTGATTTGGTGCTCAGCTCTCTAAAACATCTGTATATTATATTTTTTCAAATAATAAAATAGCCATTGATAAAAAATTTAAGAAAAGCATTTTTTTTTATAACCACCCCATCGATTTTTGAAAGTAAAACATTTATAAAATCTCTACATCCTCTACTACAACATTATTGTCCTAAACATTTTTTTAAAACAATGTTGACTTCCAAAATGCCCCCCTCTTCGCAGAATAGATTGAAAAAAATGTTTAAGACAAATGTTTTAGTAGATACTGTAGGGATTTTATATATGTTTTACTTTCAAAAATCGATGGGGTGGTTATCAAAAAATGCTTTTTTTTTAATTTTTGTTCAATGGCTATTTTATTAAAAATAAGAAATAATTGCAAATACAAATGTTTTAGAGAGCTGAAAGATAAGTTTGTCTTTTTTCAATAGTCCTGAAAATAAGGGAGTTATTGCTGCCATGTGTATGTCTTTCTAAGGTAAAAACATTTAATAAAATCCAGTCCGCATAGCGAACAGAAGTAACAGTCACAGTTCTCCTGTTTTCTTAAAAAAAACGGTCCGATATACCGATACCTTGCAAAACAAACACGGGGTGAGCTTTCGTCCACGACGGCACGATGGATAATAAATGGCAACTTAGGGAGGGTTGAATTCCACTAACTTCATTTCCCTAAGCGTTACACAAGTCGTGTATTATGCGTTCTAAGAACGTTCGTTTCCCTTGATTCACCTTCTGCCGCCAAGGGCGCTGTATAACATTTTTCCTTCCCTTAATTATACACATTGCCTATCAATTCTATAGAATACCTGACATATACAGATTGCCGGTAACATATACAGGGTGACCATTATGTATTGAATATAGTATATACTCGGTAAATACCAACTATATACAAAATAATTCTATAGCAAAGTTGTTTAACATTTTATTTCCCTTAATAAGGCAGCGTCCAGTTCTTCTTATTTCAGAAAACAAATGAGCAAACGAAAAACAATTGAATTTTTTTAAATAGCAATGTACTCTTTCATTACGCTCATATGATAGATTTTTTTTCTTTTTAATGATGTGACATGTCAGTACAGGAAAATTAAAAAAAAAAATTATAATTACATCAATAACATTAGCTAATTTAGATATCCTACATCAAAATAAAACAAATGAACGTATATGTTTCTCGAAGACAATACGATATTAGCAATAATTGCTCCAGAAATTTCTTCCAGAATACTCAGACAATAATTTCAAGTTTTCCGTGATAGGTTAGTTCACTGCCTCGCAGTTAATAATAAAAATATTATGAACACTTATTGCGATGGAATCCATTTTATTGCTAATTTCATTTTGTCTTCAAGGTTTAATAGGAAACGTACACGTTCATTTGTTTTATTTTGAGGTAGAACATCTAGATTAATGTTATTGATGTAATTATAATACTTTTATATAGAATAATTTTGAATATAGTCGATATTTACCGAGATATATACTATATTCCATACATAATGGGCACCATGTATTCTTGCGTCGTTTGCAGTTAACCTAAGGGTGAAGTATTTAACAGAATTGTATAGTTAACAAAGATTTTATGAAATTGCCCCGGGTGCAACCATTCTAAGGTGAAAAACATTTAATAAAATCTGCAGGTTTGTGTGAAAATTTTAGATGCGTGTACCTTTTCTAATGGTGAAATATACAGGGTGCTGACTTGCGTAACGCATCGTGGGGATTTTAATGTAAAATTCATAACATGCGATTATTGGCTCCCCACATTATTTTAGAGCAAAAATGTATTAAAGTTTTTTGTAGAAAAAAATTGTTTACACCAATCAACCATATTAGTTTTCAATTTTTTGATAATACCTATAGACGGAAAATTGGAAAAATAAAACCCGCATCTTTTTCAATAATCTGGGATGCCATGGAATTTTCTAAAACAAAAAGATATCCAGTTATCAATTAGCAGCAGTTCGAAATGGATTTTATGATCGATTTGCTTACTGTCTTGCAGTTAATGGTGACTTATTCGAACATTTATTGTAAATTGTTTTATTAGGAAACCGTTTTTAGTAATTCGCTGTTCTAAATATAATACTTTTTGATAGAATTTGATTTGTTTTATAGCAGACATTCCATGGCATGACTGATATTGGCGTAGTTTTTGTATTATAAAATTCCATGGCATCATCACAGATTATTGAAAAAGATGGGGGTTTTATTTTTCCAATTTTCCGTCTTTATCATGCAAACAATTGAAAACTCATACGGTTGATTGACGTAAAAAAATTTTTTCTACAAAAAACCTCAATACATTTTTGCTCTAAAATAATTTGGAGAGCCAATAGTCGCATGTTATGAATTTTACACTGAAATCCCTATGGTGCGTTACGCAAGTCACCACCCTGTATAACAAAAACTATATATTATTAGTGTATTGTTTGGGCGCTCCGTAACAACAATCATAAATTTGTTGTAAAGCTATTATGGTACTTCGGTGTTTGAACTTTTTCATCATCAAACTTTTGTATTTAAAAGTAGTTTATCAAAGTTGCATGGCATATCCTGTGTAGTGAAGTAGACAAAAATGCATGTTTCTGTTTTGTTTTAAGCATCAATTGCACGAGTTCTAAAGTTCATTAGTTAACTGTTTTATCCAAATCATTCCATTTTGGCCAAAATATCTCCCGATCCAGAAATTCCTCTATACTATCCCTCCAGAAAGCTCTGAAACTGACACGTTTCACGCGATTTTGGTTTATTTACGAAAGCAGGCTTTCTCGGGCTTTTTGCGAATGGCATTTCGACAACTTTGCACCCAAACTGCTAATTTATAATAACTTTGTTGCTGAGGCAGAGATTAATCGCAAATATTTCATACCTATGCCTAATAAAACACCAACGCCAACAGTCAACCCATTGAAGTACACTTTGCCAAACAACGTAAGTTCAAAAATAAAACGAGGGGATAATAAAAAAAATTGAGCCAGTAACTAAGAAACCTCTCTGATTTACAATTTCTTCGAACTGAAGTAATAAATTAGTCAATAATTGGCGCGATCCTGGAACTGTATTATAATCCATCAATAAAGATGCTGTTGACGGACCATCGAGAAAATATTTATGGAAAATTATCTAAGTGGAACCTTTTGGTAATTAAATTTTATTTAGTAAAAGTAAGACCTAATAATAGGAACAAGAAGCGTTAGTGATTTCAAGGTCGTTCCATCAAAATTGACGAAGGCTATATTTCCACAAGAAAAGATGGAAAACATATTGCCAGCTGTTTCACAACACGTTGTACGGCATGCATTATTTTACTTACACACGCGGTAAACGTCTACACGGTTCTTGTAGTAAATAAAAATCTACATTTTTAGGATCAGCGGCGCCTGTTAGAGAAAACATATTAAAACACTCACCATTGGTGTCCAACTGGATTGCGTGGGCGCTGGTCTCGTTTGGCTCTTGGACCTCGATCTAAATATTTTTTTCGCCATCAGTCGACTACCATGATGCATGACACTGGAGGAGGACTTGGACTTTTGCATGGTTCCTCCGGTGGTAGTAGCTGCAGGGGAAGATTTATCGTGTGTATGTTTACCATGCAAAAGGTTTGAGAGAAAGGTTTGGCCAGTGGAAAAGAAGCTGGGATGGGTGGTATGTGATTTTTCCGTTTCGTCAACGGCCGTCGCGTCTATACTATCACGGGAACTTAAATTAGGATTATCGCTAGAGTCGTAGAACTTTAGGTCTTTCGCGAACAAGATCCAATCGTCATTCGTCTGACAGCCCTTGTTTAAACCGTCGTCGTCACCCGGTTTGGTAATCTCGCCCTTTGCTTTAATATTTCTCAAATTCCGGTCGTAGTTAACACGCTTAAAACGATCGTTTTTATTTGAGTCAACGCTTTTTTTACGCGCCATCCGCAAGTATCGTTTAATTGTATCACTAACCGATTGGGAAACATCGTCGTTTTCTACACTACTGCGCCTTCGATGAGTGTTACTTTTAACTTCTTTGGGCTCCTCGTCTTCGCGCTCCGCCAGCATTTTCTTATATTCTTCTTCGAGCTGCAGGAGAGTGGCCTCGAGTATCGGACCTGTTTGCACTCCAGCATTTTCGTAGCTTATCTCAGTTGTTTCGACCACCTCGATTAAAGGGGGTTGCGAAGTGAATGAGTCGGTGAACTTCTCTGGATGTTTGTAACTCCTCAGGTTTACGCCACCCCATGGGGCAGTCTGGGGACTATATCTCATGCCACGATCATTGCGGAAAAGCTTGGCTTGTCTCAAATCAAAATATAACTTTTCTAACGCCTTGCGATTCGTAAGTAAGTCGGATATTACCTTATCCCTATTCGCGTATTGGCCAAAGTACCTGCTCAGAGTTTCCGTGAGTGACTTTTGAATGTGGTCACCTTCAAAATGCACCTGCTGCCTCGGTTGAGGAACGTAACCCGGTGTACTCGCCCTTGTTGATGTGTCCAAGTGTTTATGTAACTTATCGATCAGTTCTAGGTAATTGAAGTCTACTGAGGTATTGGGAACGTTGCGTGGTTTGTCTGCTGTCCCGGATATCGTGAGGTATTTTTCTAACATTTGCAGTAATTCGTTTTCGGCAACTTCCTCGCTCGTTGGAGACGGTAGCGGGCTGGATTTGAACTGCGACTTCACCGAGCTGTTTGGTGAAGAGGGCTTGTTTAGGAAGTCGTATTTCATTTTTTGGATATCGAACCTTCCACCGCTTACGGAAGAAATGGCTAAGTCTTTCGGTCTCTCAGGTTTAAATTGAATTTCATCCGAAGAGCTGGCCTTTCGGCAGCTACCCCCCTTTCGCCGCTCTTTTCGTCGACGTTGGGAGCGAAAGCAAAGTGCGCCCGGGTATGAATTTTTCCTCCATAACAAGAAGTTCGGTTCTCTTTTGCACACCTCTTGGAAATATGCTTCTATTTTAGGTATGTCTTCGGGACGATTTTGCACCCCTTCGGGAATTAAGCGCTTACCGGCATCCGTCATATATCTCCAAGTTTTTCTGGTGAGCAACCACCGCTCCTTGGGCTTTTTCCGTTTGTCTCGAATCGATTTGGCCATCGTCAAAGATTCGTCGTTGCTTTCGGTGGACGGATTTCTAAACATACGGCTATTACGTCGCTTGGAGGTTCTATCAGCCATCGCTAAACTGATGGGAGCCGAACAGGTTGTATTTTTAATAGCACGCACATAGAATTAGATGTTAAAGATCATAGGTTAAGTAGATTTTCTATCACCTGTCGTATAGGTATTTCCGTGGGGCATGCTTGTGGATAATTGCCAAAATTCTTTAATTTGCGAATTTTGAAACATTCTGTTGTACTTCGAATATCAGATAAAACTATTTAACAATTAGGCAATGATTTAAAATTAAATAGTCGTGACAAATGTATACTATATTAAACACGGCGTGGGTTAAAAAAATATAAGTGAGATCTATCGTTAGCTCAGGGAATTTTTATTTCAAATTTGCTAAAGTATTAATTATAATCCGTTCGCAAAATGTGCGCTTAAACATACTTTTTTAAAATAGCACTTTCACTTCTATTAGAGATCACTTTTTGATAACACATTTTAAAAATAGTTCCTTGTGCAGGTTTTTTATAAATCTGTTGTTACTTTCTTAATATAAATCTCACCGAAAATTCGGTACTAAACCACATGCACTTCGCTGACCACTCACCACTGCCGCGACAGCATAAGCAAGCGGCTGCGGTGAAACAAAAATATCCTATTTGGCAAGAGACACCTAGTTGACTAGACAGAGTTAGCAAAATAACGATAAAGCAATTCTGCCAGATTTCAAGAATTAGCTGTCTACACCTTTGATACAATTAACCCTAATTAGTTGCGAAGACGTCAAAATTATACAAATTACCGCCCTTGAATGGTGAGGTTAGATCGAGAACTATCCAATTTTCTACGGTTTGAATGAAAAAAATTCGTGTTCAATTTTTGCGATACCGATAATATTAAATGTACGTCGGTTGCGTTTCAACGGCGAAATTCACTAGGGCACTAAGGGTTGTTTGCTCCAGCTTATTTAACCAAGCGCTTCCTTCATCAGTTTACCAACTTGAAAAGAGGCTCAAGGGTTGTTTTGCCCAAGGTCATTCTTCATTGAAAGTGTTCACCCCCTGGTGTAACTTTCAAAAAAGCGGATGTATTTATAAAACCTCAAAGATCCTTAAATACTACCACTAAGATTTTTGACGCCATTCGAATATGCCACCACCTGAAAGCGTTTCGGCAACAGGGATTTAGTGTTTTTCTTAACAGGCATTTAGGTGTTAGCTTTTGGATGATTTTTAGGTCTAAATACCAAATTGGGACGTTAATTTCAACGCAGTCTTAATTACATGATGAAATTATCATCCCCTATTCATAGAGAATTGCATTCTGCAAGGGATACCGGATACGCAAAAGAGAATGTAATAGGTTTAATATACCAAACTGAATATGAACTTGTGGACTTTCCCCCATGTCGTTGCCGAACCCATGATTGAAACCCCTTTTGAAGAAATACAAATGAATAGTCAAAAAGGGACAGTTGTTTGTTACTCTGACACAGTGCGCATACACGAATCTGCCCAAAAGCTTTTCAGTTCTTCCTTTCATGTCCAAGAATATGGTTCCAATTCAGTTCAACCGTTTAGCCAAAAAGGAGAGTACAGACAGACCGACATCATCGAATTTTTTGTTTGATTCGGATTCCTGGTGCTTTAAAATGTGTATTTTCGTAAAAAAAAAGTGGAGGGGTCATTTTTATCCCCAATGCAATACCTCCCTTTACTAGCGTGCGGGTGCTAAAGAACAGAACTAGCCGTTAGTTTGCGATTTTAGCGATTTTTAGTGTTAGATATGACTAGCCTAAGGGTATCATTTGCACAAGGAGCTTGGTCGGTCTGCTTTCTCACAGGCATCACTCGCAGAAAGCACAGTATTTTCAAATGGGCAGAGTCATCTCCTTTGGGGATTCCAGTTAGATTAGTTTAAGTCTGTATTAATGTAACAAAAGCACAATTAAGCTTTTAGGACGTAAGACATAATTTTAGTCCCAGGCTAAACTAAACATGAAAAATTTCTAATAAATGCTTAGGAGTTTCCCTTCGTAATGGAAAAACTTAAATGTTAATTAAATATGTTTAAAGAATTGGGATACCCACAACAAGCCCTTCTTTCAAATTATCCTTAGATCCATCATTAGGAGTTACGCCCCCAGAGATCACGAAATTAGAGTTTAGTTTTTAGGTGCTTGTTGGTAATTATAAGAATTGATGGACAGTTTGAAAGAATATTCAATATTTAAGCTGAGTACGTGGTTTCAATGTATTGAAAGGCGACAAGGGCGTAATTATTGAAGGAAAAAGAGTGAATTATCCATTCGGTTTGCTGCTAACGCTCTCCTGTTTGCAGAAAATACAGAAGATATGAAAATATTAATTAAACATTTGAAGGTGAGGAAGAGGAATGTGGATTAACGTATTAGAGATTGGGGGGACTGCAAAATGCAAGTGTATATGAAAGATGAAACGCCGGAAAAGGTAAACAACTGTAATTATCTAGAACACACAGTAGCAGATGACTGGAGAAGTTGGAAGGAAGTAAAGATGCACGTTGGAATGGGAAATGAAGCATTTGTAAGGCAAAGTAGAATACTGTACAGCAAGTTGGACATGGATCTAAGTAACAGAATAGAGAAGTGCTTTGTATGGACGTGAACAGAGCTGGACAGTATTCGATTTTGTAAATACTTTTATTTTTCATTTGCCTATTATATGTCAATTATATCTGTCATATGTGATACATGAAGCAGTCTATTACGCCCAAGGGCATAATGAGAGGGCACAATGGATTGTCATCTCAAACCTCAAACGGCCTGTCAAATTGATTGACGGTGTTATATTATGTCATAAAAAAGATGCAACTTGATTCGTATGGAGCACTTTAATGTTGGGCAAACAATAATCATGACATTTATATATTGGAAATGCATTCTTTGGAATGATGAAAAATAAAATGTTGTATGCACCTCAGGCATTACTCAATATTTAACCCTCGGGCGACTTACAATCCCTCTCTGTCGGCCTCGGCATAAATATCGCCTTAATGCCCTTGATGCATAAATAACTATTTAGTATTCAAATCCTTTAAAGTATTCAAATACTTTGTAATTAAATACTTTTATGGAAGCAGTATTTTGTATTTGTAACTCAAATACTTTCACAAATATTTAGTATTCGAATACTTCGCAAAGTATTTAGATACTTCGTAAAGTATTCGAATACTTCGCAAGGTATTTGAATACTTTGAGAAGTATTCGAATACTTCGCATAGTATTTGAATACTTAACCTTCCTTTTTTTTACCAAAAATCGACTACTCCAAAATTTCTCGGGAAAACACTTTTTCTTATTAATTTTGGTGCGTAGAATCCAAAACAATTCGTACTTTTTCGATCAGACTTCTCAATCAAAAGTTATAGACTTAAACCAATTTCGAAAGAAAATTCAAAGGGCTGTAACTTTTGAACTAGTAGCCCAATATTAGAACTGTTTGAAATTATGGATTCTACAGGCCACATTCTATAAGAAAATTTTTTTACGGGTCGATCTGAGACAATTTTTTTTTCGGGGCTCAAAAAAAGGCAGTGTATAACCTTCCTTTTTTACCAAAAATCGACTGCATCAAAATTTTTCGGGAAAATACTTTTTCTTATTAATTTTGGTGCGTAGAATCCAAAACAATTCGTACTTTTTCGATCAGACTTCACAATCAAAAGTTACGACTAGAAACCAATTTCGAAAGAAAATTCAAAGGGTTGTAACTTTTGAACTAGTAGCCCAATCTTGGAACTGTTTGAAATTATGGATTCTACAGGCCACATTCTATAAGAAATTTTTTTTCCGGGTCGATCTGAGACAATTTTTTTTTCGGGCCTCAGTGTATAACCTTCCTTTTTTACCAAAAATCGACTACACCAAAATTTCCTGAGAAAACACTTTTTCTTATTAATTTTAGTGCGTAGAGTCCAAAACAATTCGTACTTTTTCGATTAGACTTCTCAAGCAAAAGTTATGGACAAGAAACCAATTTTGAAAGAAAATTCAAAGGGCTGTAACTTTTGATCTAGTAGCCCAATATTGGAACTGTTAGAAATTATGGATTCTACAGGTCACATTCTATAAGAAAATTTTTTTCCGGATCGATCTGAGACAATTTTTTTTTCGGGCTTCAAAAAAAGGCAGTGTATAACCTTCCTTTTTTACCAAAAATCGACTACACCAAAATTTCTTGGGAAAACACTTTTTGTTATTAATTTTGGTGCGTATAGAATCCAAAACAATTCGTACTTTTTCGATTAGACTTCTCAATCCAAAGTTATAGACTAGAAACCAATTTCGAAAGAAAATTCAAAGGGCTGTAACTGTAACTGACTCCATACATTTTGAGAAAAATCCCCTTTATCGCCCAACCTTTTTTTGACATACGTTGTGCGTAATCTGATACCCCCTTAATTCCCGTCCGATAAATGTACAACTTAGGTATTGTAAAATTTTGTGCCTGCGGTATCGAAAATGTACAAATAATGATATATTCAGCTCACTAAATTACTTTCTATCCAGCAATACACGGAAAAAATACGCTGTGTCTACGAAATTAGTAAACCCGCAACCACCAACCTCAACTATCTCCTTCATACTTTAATACAAATGGTGTATGCTTTCAACAATATTGATGCCATCTTGTGATGCCCAAAAATGCATCTTCACGAGGTCGATAAAATCCAAAACTCGTATAACATTAAGCATAGCCACGTGCAAAGTCAGCAAGCACCGCCAAATTGTCTATATGGCCTCTGGTGCCTAATTTTACCGCAATAATGGTAAATCCCAAGAATCTCCGCGCGAAATTTAAACGACCTTACGTGCTTCAATTGTTCCTTTGGAAATCGACAAGGTGAAGTAACATCTTTTAACGGTTAATTAACGCGGGCCATTAAATTTGAATTATACACCGATACGTTTTCGTGCCCTTCATCTTAGATAATCTATTTTTGTGTGAAAAAGTGGAGCAACTTTTAAAAATATCCACGCGTTTACTTCCTGCGTCGAAAAATAAAAAAATAATTTAGATACAAAATACCTGGTGCTAACTCAATGAGAACATTACTTATACTACCTGAATATATTGATATTTATACCGCGTTCTGGCTGAAAATATCTCGCTTTAAACAAAGTTATTTTGTGGTCACTTTCTAAGCACAGAGAATATGTCAAAAATAAATTTGACTTCCACCGCATTTAATCAAACTGCCGAATGAATGAATTTTAGTTATCCACGGGGTGGAATTTAGTTCTAAAAGATCAATGAGTCGGAAAGCTGATCAAGTTCGTTCCTACTGACCCAAATTTCCGTACAAAAATATTTAGATTTGGCCCATAAATAAAGGCTTCAGGTAGGCAATAAAACTGTTTTTGCTGTGTAAGTAAATATTTTGCGAACGAGAGAGATCTTCCGAAACTGATTTTACATCGGTAGTCCAAATATATTCTATGCCAATGCAATTATATCACAACATTAATAGAATACTTGTGGCCAACTTATTATAGCCGCGTTATTTTAAGTTGACAATATTGTTATTACAACTTTGGAATGTATGCGTAATAGA